GAGTTCTTCCTGCTTTCATTTTCTGTGAAATACTATCAACATTTGGTTCTATGAACCAGGGAAAGACAATAATTTCTTAGGGGGGAGCTGATGTTCAGGAAATCCTTTTCAAGAAGAGTATAAGCATGTCAGAACAACACATCTATCATACCCGTGCCTTAAGACCATAAAAGCTGAAAAATTCCTATAATCTAGTGATACTGAAGCATGGTATCTTCACATGTCGGGAATGATACAGGTGTAAAAAAAATCTATGGTGCCCGGCGCCATGGCCTAGCGACTAAAGTCCTCACCCTAAACATGCCAGGATCCCATATGGCTGCTGGTTCTAATCCCAGCAGCCCCGCTTCTGAAAGAACGGATATGATGGGGCAAGGAAGAGAAAGCTTGCAGCTAAGTAGGACAAAATGTTTGACTCTGCTAGGTCTATGAGATGACCTAGTCATTGAGAGAAATAGGAACATGCTGGGAAAACGTTAAGCATTTGTTAATGGTATTTTAGCAGTGACCTCTCAGAAGAGCAGAAAAGAATGTGCTCATTTCCTTCCAGTTGGTCGTTTGTGCTACGGTGCACAGATGTTCTCAGTAGCGTGCAGTACATGGGTGTGTGCCACTGAGGAACATTAAAGCACATTTTTGGTTCAACTCCCCCTTAGCTGTAGAATCTTTCTACACTTGTGCCTCAATTTCCCCATTTCAATGAAAGACTAGAATTGTTCTTAGACATAAACGTCAGGAAACTAAAATTATACAATGTGTTTAGAATTATGCCTGGCACAAAGCAGTTGCTCAATAATACCTGTTCTTATTTTATTATGATTACAACTGCAACTATCTAAACAAAATTTTATTGAATATGACAAGTAGTGAAGCAAGGTAGAATGTATTCCAAAATGTTGAGGTCTTTCAAACTTGTCACTGCCCAGAAAAAGAAAATCCTATATTTATGAATAGACTGCTAAGTTCAAAGACAACATGGGAACCCCCACAATCCCTGCAGGATCCTCCTGTTCCACAGTGTACCTTCTCAGTTGAGATGGGCTCCACTGCCAGGTTCCCCTGTAGCTTAGTGGTTTTACACATTCTACAGAGATTCCAGGAAAGGCATTCACTGACTTACTGAAATATACTCACACAGCTTGGTGTTTGTGTAAATACCCTTTTTTCGTTTTCCCATCATTTCCCAAGTCCTTATGAAATATGACAAGTAATCTTTAAAAAAAAAGACACTACTTATTAAAGAATAAAGAAGTACTTAAAAAGAGTAAAGGAAAGAGTCCTGAGATAAAGTTAAGGCTTAGCCACTGATTTAATTTTTGTCTTGGGTCCTATGAAATGGTTTTCTCCCTTATAAAAATAGGAATTATGTCTCTGCCCAACTTCACAACACTGGTATGCATGTCAAGTAAGAAAGTAAAATATCAAAGCATTCTCTAAATGCAAAAAAATTATTTCCTAAGATATAATCATCTGTTTATTGCCTATTCTCAAAGGATAAAAGTTATAAAAATATTCTCCTAATTGAGGGATATCACTGATAACGTGCAACTTTGTTTTGTTTGTTACCACTTCTGTAACTTTCAGAATCATTCTGGAATAACACAAGATCATATTTTAAAAGAAATTATTTATTCAATCCAGGGTAACAAAACTAATATTCACTGAGTGCATCCTATGTGCCAGATACTATGCTAGAAACTTTATATGCATAGTGTTATACATTTTCTTAAAGCAACACTCCAAGAGAGAAACGAGGTTGACCTTGTTTTGCTCATGAGAAAACCTAAGCTCAAGGAAGGTAAATCACTCACACAAGGCCCCACAGTTTTTTATCACAGCTGGGATGTGATCCAGGTCTGTCTTTCTTTTAGCTTTATTGCCAGGGCACACCTATTACTAGCTCAGGATTCCTTGTTCCTGGAATCTCAGCTTCATAGAGTTCATGAAGCCAACGTGGGCCTTCACAGAGTTTCTAGAATGGTCTCATCAGCATTGAAGAATGGGAGTTTGGTGCAGTGGTTCAAATACTACCTAGGATAACTGCTTCCCACATCAGAGTGCTGGGTGTGAATCTTGGCTCCACTTTCAAGTGCAGCTTGCTGATAGGGGAGTCCCTGGAAGGAATAGGTGATGACTTGGGTAGTCCTGTACCACCTGGAAGACATGGGCTCCCGGTTTTGGTCTAGCCAAGCCCAGGCTCTTGTGGGAATTTGGAGAGTAAAATAGGTAGCACCTGACAAGAAATGTCTCTCTGTCTCTCCATCTTTCAAATAAAATGAAAATAAATTAAAACAATCTGTGAATGCTACAGATCTATATAACACTTCACATAAACAATTATTTAGATTATTCTTAAAAATAATCTGCACTTTAAATCTCTATACAGTAGTGATTATTTCTACATCATCTTCATTTAGCGTTTAAAATAAAATACTCTGAATTACTACAAACATATTATAACACTCAGATATAAATCTTTGACAATCAGAAACAGTATCCACATACACATCTTTTGGGGAAGACTATGTTTTACTGATGCTGAAAGAGTAGCATTTTCCTTGACTCACACTTTTCAGATCAGAAAGACCAAAAGAAAAGTTGCATGATATAGAGATTAAACAGACTATATAAATATGGGATCAAAACAAGGCCACTCTGCCACTTACTAGCTTTTTCTCTCACAAATGTAATCACTTTTACCAGTATCAGTCTCTTCTCATTCATAAATTGACAACACTAGCAACAACGCATCCACGGCTAGTCATAAAACTTACATTTAACTGTACAGAGAAGATAAAAAGTTCCCAGAACAGTGTTCAGTAGCAGTTCCTTCTCTCCCAGTCCAATGAAAGGTCAATATATAAAATAAATGAGACAATGAGGAAGTTTTACAGTTTCATTGAAAGATAACCTGCCTTCTATCTAAAGCTATTTAAAGTACTTGTGGCCAGAACACCCACAGACATAAATTAAACACTGGAACTGTATTTCCCAAAAGAAATCACTGCAAGATGTAATTTTCATGATAATTCAGCAGAAAAGAAATACCCAGAGTGGATATACAAAACAGTTTGATTAGACGCCACAGGCAAGTGGAAAACCACATGCACTGAAGAGTAAAAATCAAAGACTGCTTTCCTCCTTAATCCCATCTGCCCAAGGTCATTGGGGCCACATCTTCCAAAGAGACAGTTTAGAGTAGAGGAATCAGAGATCCAGAGTGACCCAGAGTCAAACCTCGTTAGACTGACTTCAGGAAAGTTGTGTTACCCTCCCTAAGCTCAGACTTCTTCTGGGGACGGTGGCCATTTGGCACAGCAGTTAAGACACTGTTTGGGATGCTCACATCCCACAGGTTGACCTCCTGGCTTACTGACTTCCCATACAACTTCCTGTGAACCACGCCCTGGAAACCAGCAGATCGTGCCTCCCACCATTCACGTGGGAGATCTCTGCTGAGTTTCTGACTCCTGGCTGCTGTGGGCATTTGGAGGAGTCAGAAAGCATGTGGAAGATCACCTCTGACTGTCTCTCTGTGGGTCTCTTTCTCTGGTTTTCAATTTTTTTAGATGATAAACTCACAACAAAGCCTTATGAAGTAGAAACATGTTTCTTCAAATCAGTTCTTGTATGAGGTGATACAGAATGAAATAAAATTCATTTTTTATATAGTACACAATCTGTTAAAAAAAATAGTGATTATAGCTTACTAGCAATACTTATCATAGTGATATGGAAAGATTTGCTTCCTGAACTAAAATCAGAAGCTTGAGTCCCAGGGTTGGGTGCCACTGTAAAAAGCAAACAAAACAAAGCAAAGCAAAAGCAGAAATGCTTTCCTGGTCTGTCATGTGCCAGCACCCAGTGTGTTACTCCTGCTGTCACTTGGGCCTTTTACTAGTCCTTGAGCCATGAGTCTGTGCAGTCAAAGCAACTCCTGGAGGGACCGGAGGGAAGAAGAGAAGGGCTGGACCCAGCTTCAAGTTATCTCTCAGGTGACCCTGGGGTTCAGGTCAGTGTTCAGAAAGCCCCCAGACCCGCTGATGTAAAGAAGTGCCAACAAAAAGTGGATTATTTCTGGAAGCCCCTGAGAGCCCTGCCTTCAGTGAAAGTAGCTTGACAAGGTTCATGGGGTCACAGGTAGTGTCAGGACATGAAGAGCATCTCCCGAACTCCACCCCTCAGTTCTGCTCTCCAGCACTCTCCCAGTGGGCATAGAAAGACCAATTAAAAAGTCACATAAGCATTACTTTTACATTATTGCCCTTAAACTGGTTTTTGCTTTCCAGTGTGGAGGAAAATTTAACTTATCAAGAAAAACATCCTAGAGGAGTAAGAACCAGATCTGAAGATATAAAACAAAATAATACAAACATATCAAAGATTATTTTTTCTCACTACCTTATATACATCAATAAAATCACTAGTTAAATCATCATATAATTCAACAGTAAATCTCAATTTATTTAAACTAGTTCTGTATTCTTATAAAAATATTTTCCTGCCACAAGAGTAACAGAATTTGTTAACACAGTATTTATTGCTCTTAAAAAGCAAAGCAAAGGGACAAATTTAATTTCTAAAATAGTTAATGGCCAAAGTATCCCTTAGACTTGTAAAACGCAAAGCAAACATTTAAAAATAATTACGTTCAGTTTTACACTGAAGATTCTATATTCTAATCTCTGATGATTTATCTAAGTTAACTGTGATACCTTTATGGAGTTAATACAAGGCACAGTCAGATCCAATATTTTCTATTCAGGCTATCACAGCTTCATGCTAACACCAGTCTTAACATATGCAGTTTGTCATTACCCCTTAGTAAAAGAGACCACAGAAAATGTACAGAAGATACTCCAGAGACAGTGATATAACTTCCCTTTTCTTCTCACTTTTTATATACATATATATGCCATGCTTACAGTCTGAAAGACAGTCTGTTAGAATATACCTTTGAAAGAATCACAGGAATTCCCTACTTTTTTTTTTATACTTACCATCCTTTAATTTTTCGGTAAAGATGACGTTTCTTGTATAAGAGAACTTTCACAGGAACCCAAATCAGTAGAGTCATTGACGCGACATAGGCGATAGAACAGGAAACAATCAGCCAGTAGTATGTTCTCTCATTCACATTTCTTGTCCTTTGATAGGCAGTGGCAAACTGTTCCATAATCACAAGTGTGGGAACGGAGAAAGTGGCAAACTCAAGGAGCTCAAAAATTAGGAGCTTGATGAGTCTTCCAGAAGCCATGCTGAGAGAAAAGCAGCGAGCAGGGAAGGTTCCCGTGCTATCCTCTGCCTGTGAGCAGCATATGGACACACAGATACTGAACTGCGATCAAGTTCCTTGTCCTCGAATCACTAACCAGCGAATTTATTCTTTTATTGACCCTCATATGGTTCAATGAACTTTTAACTTAACAACCACAGTCTCTTAAAGAAACAGGGCCATTGTGGAAGTGACCATTAAATGTATTTGCACTTCTATAATTACAGGCTAAATGAACTTCTTGTAGCTCTGGTAAAAATAAAACTTCTAGGCATAGTGTTTCTTGCTTATTTCGGCACAATACCATTTAAACAACACTTAAGCCTTTAGCACAAAGCTATTTAAATAATATTCAAACTTTCTTAAGTAGAACAATTTGAAAAATGTGACTTTCAAATAGGAGGGAGAAGTGAATGTAATCTAACCCCCTATTTTTACATCCAAGTGAATTCAAGCAAAAAGGAGTACTTAAACTGTGATTTTTGATGTTACTAAACTACATCTCATTTTTGTTTGCAGTTCTCAGAAAGAGAGTTCAGATTCACTTTGTAAACCTCCCAAGCAGGATCCCTCCTGCTCATTTATTTGCAATTGTGCAGTAATTGCAATAAAACACATATTCATGTTGTTTTTTCATTTATTGGACAAGAAACTAAAACAGAAATATTAGAAACCCATTATCAGGACTAATACTTTAAGAGCTATCAACATGTAATCCAAAAACGTAGGAAATGTTTAATAGACAATTAGCACCACAAAAACCCTTTGTCCCAGAAAAGAAATTTGGAGAGTTGGCACTGTAGCATAGCAGGATATGTTGCCACTTGCTCCAGTTCCAATCCAGTTCCTGCACCCAGGAAAGCAACAGAAGACGGCCCAAGTAACTGAAGCTCTACCCTGAAAGCTGGAGACTGGATAACGTTTCTGGCTTTGGCCTGACCTAGCCCCAGCCACTGCAGCCACTTAAGGAATGAACAAGTGGATGGAAAATCTCGCTCTCTTCTCCCTCACTCTTTTTCTCTCTATCATTATCTCTCCCTTTATAACCCTACCTTTCAAATAAATAAATAAAATCTTTTTTTTAAAAAAAAAGAAACAGATTTATGAGTATTCAGCTCAGCAATTAAAATGTTCCCATCCCGTACCAGAATGTCTGGGTTTGACTCTCTCCTCTACTTTGGATTCCAGCTTCCTGGTAATGTGCACCCTGGGACGTAGCATATATCAGCTCAAATATTTTGATCCCTGTCACTCACAGAAAGCTGGGCTGTATTCTCAGCTCCTGGCTTTGGCCTGGTCCAGATCTGACAACTATGGAGCAAACCAGAAGAGGAAAGGTCTCTCTCTGCTTAACTTTCAAAGAAAAATAAATTTTCAAGAAACCAAATCTGAATACCTGAACACCTAGAATGAGAACTTCACTAGGTGTTAGGGTGTGGAGATAAACAAATATCCTTAAAATCTTCCAGTTTGATAGAGGAAACAAATGTATGAACAACAAAAAGAACAAAGGTCACAGTATAAATCAAAGGCTATGCCAACAGAGGAACTTCACCTTCAGACTGTGGGAAGGGGAGGATCAAGGTGCGTATGGGGGTTGGAGGGAAGGTAACAATTCAGACAGAAAACAAAACAGGCAAGGAGGCCACAGTGGCTGATGAGAGCTGGAAGTGGTTCTGCAGGGAACATAGGAGGAAACGGTGGGAATCAATGAGGGTCGAAATACAAATGTCCAAGTAAGGATCAGGAGTATGTGAGTGTGTGACAAGCAGTGAACAAGCAGTGGGTTCTGAACACAGGAGTCATTGGATGATTTGGAAAGCAAGTCAGTGCTGATGTAAAGGACAGAAATAGTACCACGAGGAGACAGGGAAGCCAGCAGAGAGACAGAGGAGCCTGGGCAAGCGATAAGAGCCTCAGCTAACACTTAAGAGAGCAGGGGTGCTAAGAACACTGTGCCACCAGATCCTGAGTTCACTACCTTCTACATACTGCTTCTTTCTCTTGCTGGGCCTTTAGCAGAAGACGCCCTGCACTGTCTGACTCTTAAGACGCTTTCTAGCACTCTGCTGTCAGCTTAGGATTAATCCGTTCTGCTTTCTACTGTAAAGCACTATGTCAGCTGATCTCCTCAACTATATCCAGTTATTTTATTTGAGTTCAAATATGAAATCCACTAAATTCTGGTAGAAGACCACTCAAATTCTGAGTAACCAGTGCTATGTGGTATATACTTTATGTATGACTAGGAAGAACTTTGTAAAGAATTGCTTAAGAAAAAGTCTGACTCCAGGGGAAAAAATAGGTGTCTTGCACAGGTCTGTAATTTCATTACCCAATTTTTCTTGCTCTTTTAGGGAATTAAATAAGTTCTAGCTTTGTATTTCTCATCTGTAACTTCCTTCTGGTTTATAATCTCTCTTCACTTTTACCTCCAAAGACAAAGCCAAGAGCATTAACATTCACGTAATGTGATCTGCGGTTCTCCACCACATAGAATGAGTTATATTTGAGCACAAGGAGGGCTGATATTCTCACCTTCTAGCCCACAGTGAGTCCAGCTCCACAGAAAGAAGGGACTGTGCTAACATTGTCTGTTGAACGGTAACTGTGTGCAGATCGTGTCAGTCCCTATTTACTTGCATCCTGGTTGGGGAGCGGAAACAAATACAGAGTTAAGACCCAAGTCCATTGATGGAATGTTCTCAACAGGCTAAGCCTGTGAAGGGCTATCCCACACAAAGTCCTCCATCTGCTAAGACAAACAGGCACTGGGTCCATGGGATCACAAGCAGATTACATATGGCCTGGAATAAAGTGAACAATTCTTAGTCTCAGTATTAGCAATCTGAATTAAGAAATGGAAGTGGATTTGGTGGGCAGAGCTGAGAAGGCCATTATTTTGAGTAAGAATTACAGCAAGCCAAGCTGTAACAGACAGAAGCACCCTAGGCATGCTACCAATACTCAACAATTATCTGATGAATGAATGCAACAATGGAAGCCGGTTAGGGAAGAAATATAAGAATTAGTAGAAAGATGAATCTATTTTGGGGAGTGAGAAGATTGGAACAAATCAATAGGTAGAAGCAACAGCTCAAGAAAGAAGTCTTTCAATGTGCCTCCAGTATTTCCTTATAACCAGGTGTGTTTGTTTTTTGTAACCGGAAGAGCTTCAGCATAATACAAAGGGGAATATGTGTGTGCAGGGATCAAATTTCTATCAGAAACAACAAAAACAGTGAATGATTCAGAGGAGTGAAAACAATCAAAGCAGAGCTAATCAAAGAAGGCTTCTCAAAGGTGACTTGGACCTGAATGATTCTTCTATGAATCCAAATCAGTATCTGTAAATTGCTACAGCGATCTTCTCTATGTATTACAATGGCATTGCCTGTTAAAAATAGTTCTAGAATATTCATAGTATAGTGCAGAGTTGGGGAAGAAAGGAGGGAGGAGCAGGTGGCAGATGCTGTGTGTAACAATACAACTGGTATAATCCATTTTTCTCTGGAAAAATCATAGTTGTAGATTTTAATGCAAGGCAAACAATAGTTAACAAAATGTTCTTGTGCAGTCCCTGGAGGAGGGACCAGATGGGGTGAGAAGAGTCTTCATTTTTTTATTAATACTGCTCTAGTTGAATATTTCACCAGCATACCATTTAGAAAATGACTTTAGTCTAATAGAAATCTATTAAAAAATAATTTTAATTTAATAAAAAAATTTGTGACCTCTTTTTTGCTTTCCATTTTTTCCTGAAGTTGAAGCAGAATAAACAAATTTCACTTCCACTTATCCTGTTAGCAGTAGTGCTAAAGAGCAAAGATACAGCCAAAACACAAGCAGAAGACAGGAGGAAGCCTCGAGTAACTGTTTCCTGGCTGGGCATTCTGGGTGAAACGGAACTGTCTTTCCCTCTTAGGAAAGGGCTAGAAAGTGTAACTGCCGTCCTCCATCATCCACGTCGGATGCTATCTCCTCTGTGAAGCCTTGCCTACTCTTCCTCCAAAAGAAATTGAACATTTCCTCCTTTAAGTTAAACACCACCTCCCTATATCACTTATTGAAACATGGGGTTCCCCACAAAACCTTAAAGGAAAGCTCCATCTGCTTTCATCATGACTCAGCACACAATAGTTTCTTACTCTGTGTTTGGAAAGAGTGAGCTGTAGGAGGAGTGAGTGGCAGGAGGAATGCAGTAATCGCCAATTCCTCTTTAATCTCAAGGGAACACTGGCTTTTCTGCAGACATCCCAGCAGGTGAAATCCCGTGCAGTCTGTGCTGGTAAAATCTCTCTATTCATTTAGCCTACAAACTTTCACTCTCCTGCTTTGGCCCAGTTATAACTACCACATCTCCTTCCATCATGGTCATGGCTCTGCAGAGTCTCCAAATTAAGAAAAAAATATACCATCCCTGTGGTTTGCAGGATTTACTCATCTCATGGTGCATAGTAGGAAAACACTAAAAGCCTTTCCAAGCACTGACAAACACTTAATACATGCTACTGCTATATCTTTCCAACTCTATGTGTCTTTAAAAATGCATACTCTATAATGGATTTGAACCATGAACAGAAAAGGCTACAAAAGACTGTCTGATACTCTGATGCAAGACAGAGCCTTGAATTATTGCAGTCTTTAGTCTTTCTCAGGTATCATTTGCCTGAATCTTACCAACAAATTGGGAGGCAGGACACAGTCCTTCCTGAATAACCTGCTATCTTAGCAAAGAAAAAGAACATCTTTTGGGTGACATTTGGTACCATGAGGAAATAATGTAGACTCTAACTTGCAGACCAAGACCAGAGGAGATCAAGAAGCTTTAAACAACAACTACCTTTCAGCTGTGACCTGTTTACTTTAGTTCTGACCCTTTCCCTGCTAAAGGCCTCTGATGAATCCGCCGTGCCTTTGTACTGGCAGTAACGGGAAGGACAACTTAAGGGACATCTCCATGCCCTGGATTCTTTACTTGGGTTAGCCCAAATACTGATATAAAGAATCTCAGATACTTCTTTATTCCTGAGCTCAACAACTTCCTGGTAGAAAACAGATTGGTCTTCTGAAGCTGGACTGGGTCTTGTGGTTAGAATTCATTTCCCTGTAGGAGTGTTGATGCAGTGTTTTTTATTTTAGTAAGCAGAAGATATCATTCTGTCCAAGAGAGCACCTGTTCTCCACACTTCCAACTGTCACTTCCTTCCTGCAGGCAGGGAGTCAAAAACTGAAAGGCTCTAAAATTGTGAGTAAAATCATGTTTAATCTCAAGGCTTGTTCGTTGTTTTCAGTGAACAGGGTCTGTGAAGCAAAATGTGTAAACTTCCAGGAATGTTCTGGCATATCTGTGATTTGTTTCCTGTGACAGTTTGGCAATAATGTGCAAAAAGGCAGGATCTGGTTAGAGCGAAGCCGCTGCCAGGATCAGGTTGGACAGACAGAGCCTGCAGA